GCCACCTTCACTGATTAAGGGCAGCTAATGAGGGCTATCTCACGAGTTCAGTCTCTGCAACTACCTTTGCTTCAAAGAACTTTGCCGTTCATTTTCTTTTTTTCATATAGAACATTCTCTTAAGTAGTAAGGTATTCACAAGGCAGGGTACAATAAGACTCTTATTATTTTACTAGATAGAGATGACCCATCCTAGGTAGGTAGTTATTTACAAAGATATTTTAAAGTGGAAATAGCATCTGCTTTTGTTATTAAGTTTAAAAAATCTGGGCTGGGGTTATGGCTCAGTGGTAGAGCACTTGCCTAGCACATGTGAGGCCCTGGGTTCAATCCTCAGCACCACATAAAATAATAAACAAAATAAAGGTATTGTGTCCATCTACAACTAAAAATACTTTTTTAAAAAAAGTTTAAAATACCTATTACATTAGCTATGTAACCAGCTGAGATATAACACACTGGAGATCTTCTTAGAAAATTATAAAATATAACCATGTAAACTCAAAACTGCCAAATATATCTTTCTCATTTCTGAGTTAACCTTCATTTAAAAGAAATATGAGCTATAATAAAATTTAAAAGTAATTACAAAAATTAAATGTGGAATCAAAAATCTTTAATCTGGCAATCTAACTGAATGAAATATTACTAAGGAGAGCCTGAATGCTATGCATTTTAACCATAGAAACAAGATTGTCAACCACCATTCAGCAAAAGATTATTATTTGTGACGCATAACTTCTTATTTTCAGGTTATGGGGGTGTTTCCTGGCATTGGTTCTCACCAACAGATGAGACAATAGGTGAGAAGTGGGAGACGGGAGTGACAGGAGAGTATAACATAGAGAGACTAAGAGAAATGGGCCAGAATTGGCCAGCATGGGAGAACAACCAGTATTTCTTCCCAGTGGCATTAATAAAGTGAGATAAGATCAATAAACAGTGCTCCTACTGAAAGAACGAATAAGGCTCATCATTGGAGAAAATGCCCGTTTATTGAGGAACAGCTCTGCATATTTATAGAGCCGAGGGTGGTTTGACAGTTAAACAGTTGAAGGGTTTGACAGTTGGCATGGGGTGTTTTCTGATTGGTGGGTAAGGATCATGTGAGCCAGCAGGGCTCACCAGCTCTTCTCGGGGGATGGGGAAGTTAGTCTTTGGAACTGGGGCTACTCCCAACACCTACTGTATAATGATCTGTATACAGAATACTTTGTGATGCAAGAGCTTGGCTCTTTAAAAACTCTCCTAGGTAAGAAAAGATGGTTAACAGAGGCAGTGGTGAAAAAGACAGATCAAGGCTTCCTTGGGGTTCTCACAAAATTTGGGAGCAGAGCTTTTAAACAGTCTATTCACCCTGAACCCATATTCATCAGAGAATATCAAATTGGAAGCCTCACCCAGGGCTTCGGCAGAGTGGTAGGTCTATGAGCACTAGCAGAAACTGCACTATATGGCTCTCATTACAATGTCCTATCATTTGACATAGTTCCTCAGAACACAAGTCTCCCTGCAGCCTCAGCTACTTCTCTGTGCCACCTTGCTTTAAGTGTGATAAGATGGCCACTTCATAATGCACTCCTTTCCCTACAGTGGTTCCCTGACACACAAGAAGCCCACTGCACCAAATTGTGTTATGGGGGAAAACAGAGGGGACCCAGCAGAAACCTGTACGCCTTTGAGTCATTTTGAAATGGAATCTTCTGCTCTGTTTCTTCGAAGCAGCTAGAAAACTTCCACAGAAAAGAATGGACATACTAATAAGCAAATCAAATGCCTCAACGTGGCACCATCAGCCCTCTCTTGCCTGCTTTTCCTGTTTCTATAGAGAGAGGCCAGTCACCACCTTTCTATTTTGGTCACACTATGGTTCTGTGGGAACTGTCATTTTCCTTTACTGCGGTTTCCGAGGCCCTAAAATAACCTTCTCATTAGCTTCACTCAAGTTCATTGTTAACATAAATAGGACAAAATAGGCAGCCGTGTACAGAGCACTTTAAAGGAACAGTATCAGCCATGCTCATCTATCTATGATCTGAACAGATATATTCAAAAGAGGGTTAAAAAAAAAACTTGTTTTTTTTTTTTTTTGCATTATCAGGAAATACACTGTGGATCATTTTCAGCTTCCTGGAAGTGAATTAAAATGACTGATAACTTTTAATTCAGTTTAGGCTTGACTCTCTCTGTCAAATCCAGGTGGCCACTAGCAGAAGTTTGAGTAATGTGGAAAATATGTCTGTGCAGCTGCTGGAAAAGAAGCAAAGTTATACTTCCTCAAAAACAGTGTGACAGAGTCCTGCAAAGGAATGCAATGTTGGCTGATCTGTAGTCAGTATTGCCACTGGTATGCACCCTCAAATCCAGCCCCAACACTCCCTGGCCATATTCCATCCTGGGACTGCACGGTTGGAACTTATAAAAACAGAATGATTCCACTGTAAATCAGGTGCTCTTCTTTACTGTCCATTCCCAAAGACACATTAGTGTTTAGGAGGAGGAAGAAGAACTACCTATAAGGCATAGCAAACAATGACAGAGGTTAAGACAGGTTATCCATGATACCAAGAGAGGCTAGGTTAGCATTGCTATCTTCACTGATTAAGGGCAGAGCTAATGAGGGCTGTCTCACTAGTTCAGTCTCTACAACTACCTTTGTTTCAAAGAACTTCAGCTTCAACTGTAGACTAAAGTTACTAGAATAATAGTTAACCACCAATGGAATTGATGATTTTTGCTGTTTGGCTTACACAGGAAGCAAACATTTTTCTCTGGGAGTTTCAGGACAGCTATCAATCTATGAAAAAAAAATTACTTTAGAACTTGTAGAATATTTTCTGTAAGGACCAGGCAGTAAGTTCTTTGGTCTTTGTTGAACACATTCAGTTTCTGTTGCTATTTAACTCTGTACTTATAGCTCAAAAGCAGCCATAGACAGTATGTCAAGAGATGAGTAAGTCTGTTTTCTAATAAAACTTTATAAAAATAGGAAGCAGGCTGGATACGGCCCATAAGCAATAGTTTGCTGACTCTCACTTTATCATTAGGTTATACTTACGTTGCTATAAGAATGATCAGAATATGATGACCAGAACCAAGTGTTCTGGCAACTAACCCATAGTATTAGAGGCCAGAATGGGAGCTATTCTTTTATGTGTGAGAGGTCTGTGGGAGTACTATAATTGGGAAGGAGCATGAGAAAGCTGCTAGGTTACTGGTAATATTCTATTTCTTGATGTGGGTGCTTTTTACATAGATATATTCATTTTCTGAAAATTCACTGAACTTTGTGAAAATCCATTTATAAATTGCATAAATTTCTGTATTTATTTGATACTTCAATAAACTATTTTTTTAAAAAAGAAAGAAAAAAAGAACCCACATGTTCTAAAGAAGATATAATTTTAAGAAAAATAAGGTGGAAAATCCCATATGGACAGGGTAGGACTTGGGCAGAGGATCTGTGGGTTCCCAGTTATGCAGTGAGGACATAGGCCAACTTCTTTTCTTTTCTCTTCTCTTTTCTTCATCCCTCCATCCTTTCCTTCCTGTGCTTTTTTAAAAACATTGTGAAAAGCATGCACAAGATAAAACTTAACATCTTAACCATTTTTAAGTTCAGTAGTGTTAAGTATATTCACACTGTTGGGAAACAGATCTCTGGAATGTCTCCATCTTGCCAAACATTAACTCTAAATCTACCAAATAACTGTCCTTTTCCCCCTCCCCCCCCAACCCTTGGCAACAACTATTCAGCTGTTTCTATGAATTTGACTACTTTAGATACATCATGTAAGTGGATCATACAGTATTTTTCTGTTTTGTGATTGGCTTATTTCACTTAGCATGATGTCCTAAAGGCTTATTTGGTGGTATGTGACAGGATTTCTTTCTTTCTAAGGTGGAATAACATCCATCTTATGTATATACTACATTTTGTTTATAACATTCATCCAACATGGTTGTGTTGCTTCCACCTTTTGTCCTTAGAACACCAGTCTTCTTCCTTTGGCAGCCTCCTAGAAGCTTTAGCCACTGCTCTGTGCAACCTTGCTTTAAGTGTGATAAGATGGTCACTTCATAATGTATTCCTCCCACTGCTGTGGTCCTTTGACATACACATGAAGCCCACTGCACTGAGTAGTGTTGCAGGGAGGATACAGAAGGGATGTAGTAGAAATCTCTGCCTCTTTGAGTCATTTTGAAATGGTATCTTTTGTTCTGTGTCTTCACAGCAGCCCATCATAAATAGTGCAGCTATGAACATGGGAATGCAATCTCACTTTGAGATCCTGCTTTCAATTTTTTTTTATGTAACCCTGAAATGATTTGCTGGATCATAATAGGAATTCTATTTTTAATTTTTTGAGAAACTTCTATACTGGTTTCCATAGTGGCTGCACCATTTTACAATCCCACCAATAGTGCACAAGGGCTCCTATTTCTCTACATCCTTGTCAACACTTTTCATTTTCTATTTTTTTGACAGTAGCACAGGCCAATTTTTTAAAAAGCCATTTGTGAAGGCTGACAAGACTTTACCTAAATTAAACTCTAAATACATAGGCCTCCAAGAAAAATGCTTTTGATCTTTATCGAAACTTTGATATGACTTTATCTTCTTCACTCAAAGTTCATGAATATGTTCAAAGTTCCTAGCAAGTGAAATGCACAATAGCATACTGAAAGTAGCATAGCAAGAAGAAAAATTTAAAGTTATATTTTCATATCTTGTTTAAAATGCCATCCATATGTGTATCTTCCAGAAAAAGCATTATGACTACCAAAAGACTAATTATAGGGTGAATACATAATTTATTTCATTAATTTTGGTCCTACTACCCTGGAAGAACTAGGAATTCTACCAAAGGGAACAAGTGGACTGACTGGCTTAGGTAGAAGCTATGAACTCCTAGAAACAATGACACCAGCTAGCTATGAACTGAACCAGTGGAAGGTAAGAGAAGTCTGACTCTAGGAGCCACAATGTCATTGGCTACCTTGCTCTTCTGGAATGACTTGCACAGCTGAATTTTCTTCTACTTTTTTTCTGGCTGCTTCTTCTTCTTCTTTAGACCACTGCATGTGATCCCTAGGGGATAAAAAAAAAAAGAAATAAAAAGATTGTAAAATGTGCTTTACAATTGAAGAAGGCAGAAAAAAAGTGACCAGGGATTCCATCTTTTATTCTTGATTAGGCAAACACAAGTGATAACAAATTCCATGCTGAATGAATATACTTTGTATCAGATATCCCTCCTAATGGTGTTGGAGTGACCCTGCAACTCCTATGGTTCTTCTATTTTTATCTGGCCATGCTGCCAGTCCCAGCTACTTGTGGGAAATGGCTGCTAAAGTAATGTCCCCAGAACACTCTGGTGAATTACCTGTGTACTGGTACAGTTTGCTATTTTTTACTCCAAGGCTAATTTATTCGACTTTTTGTTTATTTATGAGCAGAGCATTCTTTAATAATATTTTAACATTATTTTTATAACACTTGCATTTTGTTACTTTACCATCAGATTCAAGTTTTAAAATGTTTGGTACTTACCCTGCAATTTAAAAAGTAACTTTAGATTTTTTTATTAGCTACCTTAGTTTCTGAAAATGAATTCATTTAACATTTAAATGGTAAAAGTAAACTGATACAGTATATAAAAGGGTCATTTTTCTAAAATCTAGCCCTTTTTTATAAGTATATTTTAGTTTCATAATTATTTTCTCTATATGAGAAGCTACTCCTTTGTGCTGTAAAAATGTCTCTTGTTGCCTACCATGTGTGAGGCCCTGATTTAATCCCCAGCACCACAGAGGTAGTGGTGGAGGTGGGGTCTTTCTTGGAACAGAAGCAATATCTATATACAAAAATGGTGATTTGGTTTTGGTTTCATTTTTTACAAAGCTGTGTTTCTTTTTTTACAAGAGGTTAGTTTATAAGTGAGTGATACAATTTCTTGAAACAAATCATTTTTCTACATAAGAAAAACAACAACAACAACACACCCTACATTCAAGTCCATATAGCCTACTGATATCTTCACCTTCACACTGTAACTATATATTTGTAGTCATCTGATTGATGAAAAAGGAAAAATTAGGGGCTGGGGATGTGGCTCAAGCAGTAGCGCGCTCGCCTGGCATGCGTGCAGCCCGGGTTCGATCCTCAGCACCACATACAAACAAAGATGTTGTGTCCGCTGAAAACTGAAAAATAAATATTGAAATTCTCTCTCTCTTCTCTCTCTCCCTCCCTCTCTCTTTCTTTAAAAAAAAAAAAAAAAAAAAAAAGAAAAAGGAAAAATTATAAAGTTCTTGAAGATGCATCATTAATGGTGACTGACAAACATTAACTAAGCAGTTAGAATAATCATAACTGCAACCATTTATTATTTATTATATGTCAGGCACTGTTAAGCACATCTCATACATATTTGTCCTATCTAATGCTTTCAAAAATCCTGTGACAGGGTTTTAATCATGTTCATTTTGCATATGAAGAAATAAAAGTGTAGTAACTCACTCACTCAAGGTCCTATAGTCAAAAGGTGGCAAAACCAGAATTCAAACCCAGCTTTATGTCATAACAAAGTCCACCTTCTCATCCATTCATCTATTATTATCTACCAACACAGTAGGGGATACTGAGAGATTTTAAGACTTAATCTTGTCCATCAAAGGCATATACTCTCCTATTGCAGGCAGACAAACAAAACGTAAATACTACAATGGAACAGACATGGTTAGCACCTGATGAATGGGAGTATAGCCAATTAATGCTGGCTAGGGCAAAGAGGAAGGCTTAAAGGGAAGGTTGGTTTGGGATCAGACTGGGGATTGGGCAGTGGAGCAATTACTTTTGCCATTAAGAAGCTGGCAATATGGACAGCATATTACAGGAAATAATGAAAAATTCCATTTTGATTGGTTCTCTTCGGCAACTGCAGATGAAGTTGGGATCTGGGTAATGGTCAGATTTCAGAGGATTTTAAGTTATGTGCAAGATGCAATGGAGTGGGGAAGGACTGGAGGCAGACCAATTAGATTGTTGCAGTGGTCTAGGAGTAATGAGTACCAGGACTAAGGTGGAGATAATGGAAAACACAAAAAGACAGTGGAGTGGGAGACACAGAAAAAAATCATAGTTATGACTGGAGATGAACTCGATATTAAAGGAGAAGAAGAGTAAGAGTCAGGAATGATTCCAAGGTTTTAACCCTTAGTATCTAGGAAAGCAGGAATAATGATTACAGAGTAGAGTTGCTTTGGGTAGAATGATGAGAAGCTTGATTCTATTTTAACTCATGTTTATGCAATCAGATATCAGAGGATAGAGTCAGGTGACCAAACTAAAATACACTATGGAAAGATAAGAATCTATTATCTTTTTAAAAGGATCAAAAATGGTACACTGGATCTCTAAGAAAAGGGAGTGAGAATGTAAAAATCAGAGTTTCACAGATGAAAATTTAACCACCAGTATTTTTTTTTAAAAAAAAACCCAGTTATAACCCAATCATTAAGAAGCTTGTCATTTGCTTTAATAAATGAAATTAGAATGGATTTTTTGTTATGATTCCTTTTAATAAATGTAAGTAATTATAAATGAATTGAGGCTGGGAACTATACATTTTGTATGTGTAAATATAGAGGCTATAGCATGACTGTTATAACATTAAAGGCAACAAGTCATCTGCTTAAAAAATAGTGTTACTAAGGCTGGGGATGAGTTTCTCACCTATAAATTTTTATAACACATAGGAAGAAAACAGAACAATTGCTTTCTCTATAGAGAACCAAGTGGTGAGCCAACAAGAGTATATGGAGTCTTCAGCTTGATTAAGCAAGTGTTTTATTATTTATTTATTTAAAAGCATGTGTTTAAAACTGCTGGTTTAACTTCCTACTTCTTAAGTATTTAATAGATTTGGTTATTTCTTAAATTGTCCTAACATCCTTATACTGTTTTTTATGTTGTTTCATTTTCTTAACTGTTAAGGGAATATTTTACCCCAAGTTCCTGCAGAACAGATTTTCCCACTATATAGTTAACAGAATCCGCTCAGAAACCTACAAAATGTTCCCACTCTATTTATGGGGACTTCCTCCAGACCTGCTGCTTTATGGCAGTTCTTTATCTTATAAGTCTGATTCATACAAACCAAAATCCAACAGCCAGCATTAAGAATCACTCAAATATTTTTACAAGTAATAAATACAACAATAGAATTTAAGCACAGAGACAAATAACTAATAATAAAACTGAAATAATTAGGCTAACAACTAAAACGAAAACCAAAGACAGAAATGGTTACACTGTTTTGGCTTATGAAATGTACTGCTTGGGATTTATTTTAACAAAAGAATAATAAAGTTCTATAGAGAAAATATCTGTACAAAGATGTTCATTGAACATTAAATAAAATAGCAAAAAATTGGAAACAAACTCAGTCATAGGGGAATGAAAAAATAAGTTAACTCAAAGGAATATTATACAGACATTTCCAAAAAAAATTTCACTACCATGTGATAACATCAAAAAGTATTTGTGAAATTAAACTAGGTTAAAAAGGCAGATTCCAAAATTGTGTTTGTGTTAAAATTGTAACTGTTTAAAATTATATACACATTGAATAAAGATGCTAAATGGTGAAATAATAACAATTACATTAGAGTAGCAGGATTAAGAGAGAACTATCTTAAAATTTCCTTAATATTATAAAGCTATTTCAACTAAAAATAATTTTTAATTAGACAATAAGAGAACAAACAACCCAATCAACAAATGGGCCAAGGACCTGAACAGACACTTCACAGAGGAGGACATACAGTCAATCAACAAGTACATGAAAAAATGCTCAACATCTCTAGCTGTCAGAGAAATGCAAATCAAAACCACCCTAAGATACCATCTCACTCCAGTAAGATTGGCAGCCATTAGGAAGTCAAACAACAACAAGTGCTGGCGAGGATGTGGGGAAAAGGGTACACTTGTACATTGCTGGTGGGACTGCAGATTGGTGCAGCCAATTTGGAAAGCAGTATGGAGATTTCTTGGAAAGCTGGGAATGGAGCCACCATTTGACCCAGCTATCCCCCTTCTTGGTCTATTCCCTAAAGACCTAAAAAGAGCATGCTACAGGGACACTGCTACATCGATGTTCATAGCAGCACAGTTCACAATAGCAAGACTGTGGAACCAACCTAGATGCCCTTCAATAGACGAATGGATAAAAAAAATGTGGCATTTATACACAATGGAGTATTACTCTGCATTAAAAAATGACAAAATCATAGAATTTACAGGGAAATGGATGGCATTAGAGCAGATTATGCTAAGTGAAGCTAGCCAATCCCTAAAAAACAAATGCCAAATGTCTTCTTTGATATAAGGAAAGTAACTAAGAACAGAGTAGGGACGAAGAACAGGAGAAGAAGATTAACATTTAACAGGGATGAGAGGTGGGAGGGAAAGGGAGAGAGAAGGTAAATTGCACGGTAATGGAAGGAGACCCTCAGGGTTATACAGTGGAGGGGGTAGAGAGAGAGGAGGGGAGGGGAGGGGAGAGGTGGGGAGGGGGGAGGGTGGATGATGGGAAAGGCAGCGGAGCACAACAGACACTAGTATGGCAATTTGTAAATCAATGGATGTGTAACTGATGTGAATCTGCAATCTGTGTATGGGGTGAAGGTGGGAGTTCATAACCCACTAGAATCAAAGTGTGGAATATGATATGTCAAGAAATTTGTAATGTTTTGAACAACCCACAATAAAAAATTAAAAAAAAAAATAAAATAAAATAAAGTATAGGGCTGAGGATATAGCTCAGTTGGTAGAGTGCTTGCTTTACATGCACAAGGCCCTGGGTTCAATTCCCAGCACCACAAAACAAACAAAAAAATAAAGTATAAAGTAGCCCACTGTTTCAGGGGCATTAGAGGGATAGGGAGAAGGATGAATGGGGGAGGGGTGGGATTATAATGTCTTTCAAACATTAGTAAACACAGGTGTTTATAGTACATATGCTTTGGTTAAAGGGGTACTTGTATAAAACTTTCTATAACAATGTTATAGCACATTTTTTTCCAGGT